GGGTCACCACAACATGAGGAACAGTATTAAGGGGTCACAGCATTAGGAAGGTTGAGAAACACTGATTTACTGGGTCTGCATCATGAAGAGATCCCATCCATAAGGCCATTGCTTTAGAGCAGTGGCTCTCAACGTGTGGGTCCCCAGGTGTTTTGGCCTACAACTCCCAGAAATCCCAGCCAGTTTACCAGCTGTTAGGATTTCTGGGAATTGAAGGCCAGAACTCTGGGGACACACAGGTTGAAAACCACTGCTTTAGAGGGCTCCTTCATAGCCATCCATGGGTTCAGCATCTTAGAGAGATCCTTCACAACTATCATGGGCTCAATATCTTGGAGAGATCCTTCAAAACCATCAAGGGGTTCAGTATCTTGGAGAAAGCCTTGATATTCATCCATGGTTTCATTGCCTTTGAGGGATCCATCATAAACATCCATGAGATCGGCATACTGGAGAGATCCTTCATAACTATAATGGGTTCAATATCTTTGAGAGATCCTTCATAACCATCCATGAGTTCAGCATCTTGGAGAGATCCTTCATAACCATCAATGGGTTCAGCATTTTGAGATATCCTTCATAATCATCCATGAGTTCCGTATCTTGAAGAGATCCTTCATAACTATCATGGGTTCAATGTACTGGAGACATCCTTCATAACTATCATGGGTTCAATATCTTGCAGAGATCCCTCATAAGTATCCATGGGTTCAGAATCTTAGAAAGATCCTTCATAACTATCATGGGTTCAATATCTTGGAGAGATCCTTCACAACCATCCATGAGTTCAACAACTTGGAGATATCCTTTATAATTATCTGTACGTCCATCACCTTTGAGATATCATTTATAACCAGTTGTGAGTTCAATGATTTGGATCCTTTATAACTATCATGGATTTAGTAGTTTGGGGAGATCCTTTGGGACCACACATAGATTCAACACTCTAAAGCAATCCTTCATTACCATCCGTGGGGCCAGCTCTTTACAGAGAAGCTTCATCCATGGGCTCAGCATTCTAGAAAGATCCTTCACAATCAGCTTTGATAGATCCTTTCCAACCATCCATGAATTCCACACTTTGAAGATATCCTTTATGAACATCCATAAATACAACACCTGGGAGAGAGCTTTCAGAACCATACTTAGATTTTGCACCTTAGAAAGATGGTTGAGAACCACTTATGGATTTATCCCTTGGATAGTTAGATATGGGTAAGGTGCCTTTGGAGAGACCATTTAAAACTATCCATGGGTTAGGCTCACTGGAGAGATCCTTCCCAACATTCCATGAATCCAGAACCTTGGAGTGATCCTTCATAACTGTCCATGGGTTCATCATCTTGGAAAGATCCTTCAAAGTCTTCATGGGTTCAGGACTTTGGGAAGATCCTTCAAACTATCCAGAGTTTCAGCTCATTGCAGAGATTCTTCATAGCCACCCATGGGTAGATCATTGGAGAGATCCTTCACAACCATCAGAAGGCTGAGCACCTATGAGACATCCTTCCTAACTATCTATAGGTTCATCACTTTTGATAGATCCTTCATAACCAGCTGTGGGTTCAATGATTTGGAGAGATCCTTCCTAACTATCCATAGGTTCAGTCCTGTGGAGAGATCCTTCATAACAATCCCTGGGTTCATCATCTTGGAGGGATCCTCACGGTCAGCTATGTTCATCCTCTTGGAGACCACCTTGAAAGCCATCCATAGCTTCAACACCTTGGTTTCCTTCATAACAATCCCTGGGTTTATCATCTTGGAGGGATCCTCATGGTCAACTACGTTCATCCTCTTGGAGACCACCTTGAAAGCCATCCATAGCTTCAACACCTTGGTTTCCTTCATAACAATCCCTGGGTTCATCACCTTGGAGGGATCCTCACGGTCAACTATGTTCATCCTCTTGGAAACCACTTTGAAAGCCATCCATAGCTTCAACACCTTGATTTTCTTCATAACAATTCCTGGATTCATCATCTTGGAAGGATCCTCACGGTCAACTACGTTCATCCTCTTGGAGACCACCTTGAAAGCCATCCATAGTTTCAACACCTTGGTTTCCTTCATAACAATCCCTGGGTTCATAATCTTGGAGGGATTCTTGCAGTCAACTACGTTCATCCTCTTGGAAACCACCTTGAAAGCCATCCATAGCTTCAACACCTTCGGTTTAACAATCCCTGGGTTCATCATTTTGGAGGGATCCTCACGGTCAACTACGTTCATCCTCTTGGAGACCACCTTGAAAGCCGTCCATAGCTTCAACACCTTGGTTTTCTTCATAACAATCCCTGGGTTCAACATTTTGGAGGGATCCTCATGGTCAACTACGTTCATCCTCTTGGAGACCACCTTGAAAGCCGTCGATAACTTCAACACCTTGGTTTCTTCTGGAGAAGAACTTCAACACTCTTTTCAAGTCAGTAATAAATCCGAGAGAACCTCCATCCCCTTTCAGAGGGTTAATTACAGATCTTCGTGGAGCTCATTGCCTTTGATGCAAGGATGAGTCATTCATGAAGCCCAAGGACAGGCGGCTGTGCCTTTGGTCTCCGGATCCCATTGTTCCAAAGCAGGGCCAAGAGTTCATCCACTGACAAATAGCTTTCTCATCCCTTTCTCCTCCACCTCCTCCTCCTTTTTTATCGCTCTATGAATGAGGATTGATGTGCCCTTCCCCTCCGAGGAAGGTTCTGATTTATTCCTGTTACACAAGGTACCACTGAAAGAAAGTAAAAACAGAGAGAGGTGAGGAGAAAAAAACAAGGAACGTGTCCAACCTTGGCCAAGGGAACAAGCTCATTTTCAATTCAGGGAGTTAGATTTAACTCCCTGGAGATAACTGGAGATTGTGTGTGTGTGTGTTTTTCCCTTAGAGGTGTTGTTGTTGTTCATTCGTTCAGTCGTCTCCGACTCTTCGTGACCTCATGGACCAGCCCACGCCAGAGCTCCCTGTCGGCCGTCACCACCCCCAGCTCCTTCAAGGTCAGTCCAGTCCCTTAGAGGTAAAAAATTCAATTCCATTCCACCTTTTCTTTAGAAATATTTGAAACTAAGAAAGGACAAAAAGAACCCTAATCTTGTCTGTAGATGTGCCTTCAAGTCCCTACTAACTACAAGGAGTAGTAAAGGTCAAGGTTTCCCTTTGACATTAAGGGAAACCCACGAGGCCTCTTCCAACTCTTTGATTCTATGATTCTATCTACGATTAGCACTGAATGGTCTTGCTGCTTCAAAGCCTGGCTGCTTCCTGCCTGGGGGAATCCTTTGTTGAGAGGTGTTAGCTGGCCCTGATTGTTTCATGTCAGGACTTCCCATTTTCTGCTCTTTGTCCTGATTTTAGAGTTTTTTAATACTGGTAGCCAGATTTTGATCATTTTCATGGTTTCCTCCTTTCTGTTGAAATTGTCCACACGCTTGTGGATTTCAATGGCTTCTCTGTGTGGCAGCCAGGCTATGAAGCTGCAAGGCCATTCAATGCCTAGGGCGGGGGAAAGTACTCTTGTCTGCTTGAGGCAAGTGTGAATGTTGAAATTGGCCACCTTGATTAGCATTGAATGGCCTTGCAGCTTCAAAGTCTGGCTGCTTCCCTCCTGGGGGACTCCTTTGTTGGGAGGTGTTATCCCACCCTGGACATTCCACAGATCTATAAATCCCACTTGCCTAGTTTCCAACAGATTTTGTTCATTTTCATGGTTTCTGCTGAAGTTGTCCACGTTTATGGATTTCAGTGGTTTCTCTGTGTAATCTGACATGGTGGTTGTGAGAGTGGTCCAGCATTCCTGTGTTCTCAAATAATATGCTGTGTCCAGGTTGGTTCAGGGAATTCCAGACAGGGAATAATCAGGGCCAGCTAACACCTCCCAACAAAGGATTCCCCCAGGCAGGAAGCAGCCAGGCTTTGAAGCTGCAGGGCCAGTAAATGCTAATCCAAGTGGCCAAATTGCAACATTGACACTTGCCTCAAGCAGACAAGAGTTCTTTCTCCCACCTTGGACATTATTCCACAGATATAATTAGTTGGAAACTAGGCAAGTGGGGTTTATATATCTGTGGAATAATGTCCAAAGTGGGAGAAAGAACTCTTTGTCTGCTTGAGGCAAGTGTCAATGTTGCAATTGGTCACCTTTTTTTTTTTTGTCATGTCAGGAGCGACCTTAGAAACTGCAAGTCACTTCTGGTGTGAGAGAATTGGCCGTCTGCAAGGACGTTGCCCAGGGGACGCCCGGATGATCTGATGTTTTATCATCCTTGTGGGAGGCTTCTCTCATGTCCCCGCATGAGGAGCTGGAGCTGATAGAGGGAGCTCATCCGCCTCTCCCCGGATTCGAACCTGCGACCTGTTGGTCTTCAGTCCTGCCAGCACAGGGGTTTAACCCACTGCGCCACCGGGGGCTCCTTGAATAACATCGAATAGCCTTGCAGCTTCAAAGCCTGGCTGCTTCCTGCCTGGGGGGATCCTTTTCTGGGAGGTGTTAGCTGGCCCTGATTGTTTGGATTTGAAGCCTTGCAGCTTCAAATCCTAACTGCTTCCTGCCTGGAGGAATTATTTGTTGGGAGGTGTTAGCTGGCCCTGATTGTCTCCCATTTTTGACATTCCACAGATATTTAAACCCCACTTGCCTAGTTTCTAACAGACCTCACAACCTCTGAGGATGCCTGTCATAGATGTGTGAAAAAACGTCAGGAGAAAATGTCCTAACTGCTTCCTGCCTGGAGGAATCCTTTGTTGGGAAGTGTTAGCTGGCCCTGATTGTCTCCCATTTTTGACATTCCACAGATATATAAACCCCACTTGCCTAGTTTCCAACAGACCTCACAACCTCTGAGGATGCCTGTCATAGATGTGTGAAAAAACGTCAGGAGAAAATGCCATATAGCCCGGAAAACTGACTGCAATCCAGTTTCCATGATATACTCCGGCGCTAGGACCGCGCGGCTTCCGCGCCTCCCTATTGCCCATCTCGACACCCCTCCGCGTTGCGAAAAGGAAGAAGGTTGTCCCAAACGTCACGCCGTCTCCGGGCGTTTCTAAGGAAGGACGCGGCCCTTAGCGACAAAGTCGCGACGCCGCGCCATGGCGGCTGCACCCAGCCCCACCGTCTTCCTCCTCATGGTCAACGGGCAGATCGAGAGCGCGCAGGTGAGCCCGGAGTCGGGTGGGAGAAAAGATGCGAGGAGAAAAAGGCCTTTCTCCTTTAATACTCCCCTCTCAGGGGCCAACTTGGTATCTCCCGCCTCGTAGCCGCAGTAGCTAGCGGGCGAAACCAACACCCGATTGAGGGGGGAAGATTCCTTAAGTTGTTCCTCTTCTTTTACCCCCCCTCGCTGGCGCCAACTTGGTATCTCCCGCCTATTAGTTGCTATAGTGTTTGAGTGAAACCAAAACCCAGTTTGGGGGGTGGGATGAAACTAGGACGAAACCAATCCTATTCTCAAAGGATCAATTTCTTCTGGGCACCACAACTGAAGGGAGATGTTGACTCAAAGCTGGAATGTGTCCAGAGGAGGGCGACTCAAATGATCAAGGTTCTGGAGAACAAGCCCTATGAGGAGCGGCTTAAGGAGCTGGGCATGTTTAGCCTGAAGAAGAGAAGGCTGAGAGGAGACATGATAGCCATGTATAAATATGTGAGAGGAAGTCATAGAGAGGAGGAGGGAGCAAGCTTGTTTTCTGCTGCCCTGAAGACTTTTTTTGTCGTGTCAGGAGAGACTTGAGAATCTGCAAGTCGGTTCTGGTGTGAGAGAATTGGCCATCTGCAAGGACGTTGCCCAGGGGACGCCCGGATGATTTGATGTTTTTATCATCCTTGTGGGAGGCTTCTCTCATGTCCCCGCATGAGGAGCTGGAGCTGGTAGAGGGAGCTCATCCGCCTCTCCCTGGATTCGAACCTGCGACCTGTCGGTCTTCAGTCCTGCCAGCACAGGGGTTTAACCCACTGCGCCGCCGGGGGCTCCCGCCTTGAAGACTAGGACACAATGGAACAATGGGAAGTCGGATCTGGCCATGGTGGTCCACGCTCTTGTTACATCCCGATTAGACTACTGCAACGCACTCTACGTGGGGTTGCCTTTGAAGACTGTTCGGAAACTCCAATTAGTCCAACGGGAGGCAGCCAGACTGCTCACCGGAGCGTCATACAGGGAGCACACCACCCCCCTGTTATGTCAGCTCCACTGGCTGCCGATCCAGTTCCGAGCACAATTCAAAGTGCTGGTTTTGACCTACAAAACCCTATACGGCTCCGGCCCAGTGTATCTGTCCGAACGGATCTCCCTCTACGTCCCACCCCGGAGTATAAGATGTTCTGGGGAGGCCCTGCTCTCAACCCCGCCTTTATCACAAGTGAGGTTGGCGGGGACGAGGAGCAGGGCCTTCTCGGTGATGGCCCCCCACCTGTGGAATTCGCTCCCCAGGGAGATTAGAACAGCGACATCACTCCTTTCCTTAGGAAGGAAGACACTCCATGTCTTCCTTCCTGAAGACATGGATTTGGGACCAGGCATTCGGTTAATCGGGCAGATAAAGAAAGGACTTTGACAATGGTCAGGAAATGGCTAACGGAATGGAATTATGGATCTCGGAAAGACGAACGCTGAGCATGTGAATAGTTTTTATATGATGTGTTATATACTGATTGTTTTAACTGTGATAACTGTTTCAACTATGGTATTTGTACATTATGTGTAATTTGTATAGGCATCGAATTGTGCCTTTTTTGTAAGCCGCCCTGAGTCCCCCCTGGGGGGTTGAGAAGGGCGGGGTAAAAGTACCCGAAATAAATATATAAATATATAAATAAATAAATACAAGAAAGGAGATTGCATCTGAACATTAGGAAGAACTTCCCAACTGTGAGAGCTGTTCAGCAGTGGAACTCTCTGCCCCAGGGTGTAGTGGAGGCTTTGAAACAGAAACTGGATGGCCATCTGTCGGGAGTGCTTTGAATGCAATATTCCTGCTTCTTGGCAGAATGGGGTTGGACTGGATGGCCCACGAGGCCTCTTCCAACTCTAGGATTCTATGATTCCCTTTTTTTCCTGCACTTCTGCCTTTCTGAGTCGAACTACATCATTCTCACTCAACAAGCAAAAAGCATAGGTCTTTGGGATGCTTAGTTTTTCCATCTATCTCAAAAGCCAGTATGGGGCAAGATGATTAGGACCAGTCTTTCTCTCTTTGTTCCACCCTGGCCTACTTTGCAGGGTTGTTGTTGTGAGGCCTAGGCAGGAGAAACGGATAAGGAAGTGATGATATAGGAAAACCAGCATGGAAATGCAAAGGTTGAGAATTGCATGACTACCTTTGGTTTCATAAACATGAAATGATTCAAAATAACTGTGTCTGAAATGACTTTCAGGCTAAGTGCATGTGAAATATAATTAAGTTTCCTGTTTAGACTTGAGCCCCAGTCTCAGACTAATCTAAAGTATTGCATTATGTATTTACATGCCAATACAGGTATTTCAAAAATCCACAGCTTATTATTATTATTATTATTATTATTATTATTATTATGCATTTAATTTTGACAACCATAATACAATGGTTGCTGATGACACGATAAATAAATAAAATATTTAATTTTGACAAATTGTAAGCTGCTCTGAGTCCCCCTCGGGGTAAGAGAAAGTGGGACAGAAATATAGTAAATAGATAAATATTTGTTATATTATTTTAGTATATTATTATTATTTGAAACACAACAAGATGAGTCCACAGCAGACACTCTGCTGGCTGTTGTATTGGATCACACGTCGGGCACTTCCCAAGTGTCTAGGACAGTGTGATGTATTGGCGAATAATACGTGCAGATCCCAGTAAGGTGGCCTTTTGCAGCTGGCAGATGGTAATTTTGTCAGTGCCGATTGTGTTTAAGTGCAGGCCAAGGTCTTTAGGCACTGCACCCAGTGTGTCGATCACCACTGGGACCATCTTGACGGGCTTGTGCCAGAGTCTTTGCATATTATAGCTTTACCCGCCACGCGTTGCTGTGGCCAACCTTCTCTCCCTCTTTCTCTCCTTTCACTCCTTCCTTCATTTCCTTTTCTTCTTTCCTTTCTTCCTTCTCTACCTGTTTACTTCCTTCCTTAGCTTTTTGCTCCCATCCTTCCTTCTCTTTATTTCTTTCCTTCCCTCCCTCTTTCTCTCCTTCTTTCTCTTCTTCCTTTGCTCCGTCTTTCCTCCCTTCCCTTTTTTTCTTTCCTTCTCTCCTCCTTCCTTCTCTCCCTCTTTCCTTCCTCCTCCCTTTTTATTTTCCTTCCTCTTTCTCTCCTTTCTTCCCTCTCTATCTCTTTCCTTCCTTCCTTCGCTCTTGACCTGCACAGTTTTTTTTTTTTTGTGATTGTGAGTGTGTTGAAATGTTGTATAGAATTTTGAATCGGTTTGTGCATACCTTGTGGGTTGAGGTATGTGCATGGTAAATTTGGTAAGTTTTCGTCGGGGGGGGGGTGTTTCGCGTTTTGCTGTCCCGTTAAACGCCCTTTCCATTTTTATATATATAGATTATTATTACTACTACTACTACTACTACTACTACACACCTCTCCAGAAGTGGACTCAGTGGCTTCCAAATTGGCAGTAATTAAATTCCGCATTACAACATAAAACATATAAAATACAAATATATTATGCATTAAAATCATAAAAGAAATACCACATAATGCATTTAGATAAACTGTTAAAAGCATAGCACATAATTCCAAAATCATAGTCCAAGTGGCATTCCAATCACCTTGACTTCGTAGTAGTGCACTGTTACTACTCTCCAAGCATTTCGTTCCACTGCGACATAATTAATTTTAATGTAATTGCAATTGAACCTAGGAGGAGGCTATAAATTAAGGTTCATGTTTTCATGCTAAACATAACTTAAATTTAGGTTATATGTTATAATTTGGTTTTACATATGGGTTTAATTTGGTATATGTTGGTTTATTTTGGTATATGTTGGTTTATTTTGGGTTTTGGGTGGTTTATTTTGGGTATTTGTATTTATTGTTGTTTTAGGCATTGAATGTTTGTCTTTTTGTTGTTGGAATCCGCCCTGAGTCCCCTCGGAGAGATAGGGCGGAATACAAATAAGGATTATTATTGTTGTTGTTGTTTCATTGTTATTGTGATAGTGTTTTTTAGAATGTTATTTTATGACTATTTTTTTCTTTTCTTCTTCTTATTAATGTATTCTGATGATGTTGCTGTTGTTTGTTGTTTATGTTTTGATTTTATTGCTGTAATATGTTGTCCGGGCTTGGCCCCATGTAAGCCGCTCCGAGTCCCCACCGGGGAGATGGTGGTAGGGTACAAATAAAGATTATTTATTTATTTATTTATTTATTTATTTATTCATAGCCAAGTTTTAATTTTCTTCTAAAGGCCAGAAGGGAGGAAGTTCCACAGCTGAGGGGCCACCACTGAGAAGGCCCTGTCTCTTCTTCCCACCAGCCGCACCTGCGAAAGGGGTGGAACTGAGAGCAGGGCTTCCCCAGAAGATCTCAGCGTCCAGGCTGGCTCATAGAATTTGAATTAAAACGTTCAAATCAATTAAAATCCACTGTAGCCTGGCTTTGGCAAACATACATGCTGGGAGTAACATAGAGCCAATATGCATAAAAATTAAAGTATGGATTTCCTTTTTTTCCAGTTCCCAGACTTTGATGACTTATATTGCAAGTACTGCTTTGTCTATGGATACGACTGGGCCCCAACTTCGGTACGTCTTTCTCCCACCTTCCTCCCTTGTCCCTCGCTGTGTACCTCTTGATTTAACTACAGTGGAGTTTTTCCCCTTGAAGGAATTGGATCAGGTTTGATCACACTTGTTTTTTGCTGTAGTTTCAATGAGTCCCTCTTTGAGTGGCCTAGGTCTGAAACAACTTGAAGGCACATGACGGATAATTTACTCAGTCCCATCACACAGGATCGCCCCCTGGCGTCTTAGAATTAAAGACATAGGGTGGTTATATTTTGTAGGTTCTTAAGGTCAATCCAGAGAGGAAAAACTGGACACAAATAAATAAGTTTTGAGGATTATTAATATTATTATACTGCACTTCAGCTCACAGGAAGGGAATAGGTAAAGATTTTCCCCTCACATCAAGTCCAGTCATGTCCAACTCTGGGAGGTTGTGCTCATCTCCATTTCTAAGCCGAAGAGCCGGCATTGTCCATAGACATCTCCAAGGTCGTGTGGCCAGCATGACTGCATGGAACGCCGTTACAGGAAGGGAATGCTGGTCTGAAAATATGAATGAGCAGAGCAGTCTGGCCTCACCCTTTTTTTCTATTGTAGGGTTTGGAAGAAGGGATCTCTCAAATCACCTCAAAGAACCGAGACGGACCTCAAGACCTTGTGTGGAATTTCCCCATCGAGATCACCTTCAAAAGCACCAACCCCTTTGGCTGTAAGCAAAGCCCTGCAAAACACACGCCTGCTAAGGATATGAATGTTAGCACATTTTTGATCAGTTGTATAGACACATAGTTGACTTGTCAGCATGTGTAACTTCCAAAACCCCTTTTTAAAAAACCTATAAATGCAATACACCACTTGAGAACTCAGCCAAGTTGAAACCTTATCCAAAATCTTGCAGCGCTTTTCCACCTCTGTCCTTTTGGGCCTTGGCGGAAGAGATGGATGGATACCAACAGATCATTCTTGCATAATAAAATTGATTGGGGAAGTCCTTCATTCAGCATGCCCTCCCACAAAACTATACTACTATTTCTAATATAATAATAATAATAATAATAATAATAATAATAATAATAATAATATTTTTTGTCATGTCAGGAGCGACTTGAGAAATGGATAATAAACTTAATAATAATAATAATAATAATAATAATAATAATAATAATAATAATATTTTTGTCGTGTCAGGACCGACTTGAGAAACTGATAATAATAATAATAATAATAATAATAATAATTTTTGTCATGTCAGGACCGACTTGAGAAACTGATAATAATAAACATAATAATAATAAACATAATAAACATAATAATAATAATAATAGCTTAAATATCTGATTAGCCTGCACTAAAGAATGGCCAAGCAATTCAATGAGATGCTGCAAACTGGAAACATCAGCAAATGGTTAACAACTGGGAAGACATATTTGATACAGAAAGATCCAGCAAAAGGGATAAAACCAGGAAACTTCAGTCCAATAACATATCTGCCAACAATGTTCAAACTGCTGACAGGCATAATAGCTGATCAATAATAATAATAATACACTTTATTTATAACCCGCCACCATCTCCCCAAAAAGGACTCGGGGTGGCTAACATGAGGCCAAGCCCAAAATAATACAAAATAGTAAAGACACAATAAAAAAATACATCATAACAAAATCAACAATATAAAGCAGCATAGTAAAACCAGACACAGAGGGCAGGCCAAATGTAAGAGGTAAAATGTTAAAAAGTTAAAACCCTGAGTGAGATAGGGATAAAAGTGCATTTGTAGGAGAGGAGCCCAACAGAGAGGATTCAGGATTACTTGGAGAGAAATAACATCTTTCCAGTAGAACAAAAAGGCAATATTTATCTATTTATTTATTTCAAATATTTGTACCCCACCCTTCTCTACCCCCGAAGGGGAACTCTGGGCAGCTTACAGCCGGCAGCAATTCGATGTCCCCATATACAAACAGATAAAACAACAGTTACATACTAAGAAAAACATTAAATTAGATTAAAAACCATTTTAAATAGTGCAAATTGAATTGGTTGGCCATGTCTAAGTCTGGTTTCTATGATCAACAACTTAATCTGAAGCCTGTCCATAGTCCATTTTCCATATTATTGTCGTCATGTTTATTGTCAGCCTGCTATCTGAATGCCTGGTCCCATAGCCACGTCTTGAAGGAAAGGAGGGAAGCCGTTGACCTAATTTCGCTGGGGAGGGAGTTCCACAGGCAGGGGGCCAATGCAGAGAAGGCTCTGTCTCTCGTCCCCACCAAGTGCATTTGCGATTAAGGTGGGATTTAGAGCAGGGCCTCCCTGGAAGATCGTAATTTTCGAGGTGGGATGTAGGGGGAGATACGTTCAGAGAAGTAAGCTGGGCCAGAACCGTATAGGGCTTTATAGGTCAAGATCAGCACTTTGAATTGTGCTCGGAACTGGACTGGTAGTCAGTGGAGCTGACATAACAGAGGAGTAGTGTGCTTCCTGTATGTTGCTCCAGTAAGTAATCTGGCTGCCGCCCATTGGACTAGTTGAAGTTTCCGAACAGTCTTCAAAGGCAGCCCCACGTAGAGTGCATTGCAATAATCTATTCAGGATGTAACAAGAGCATAGACCACTGTGGCCTAGTCAGACTTCCCAAGGTACTAAATGTCATGAGAAATAACGCTATATAACCAAATGGGGGGGGGGGGGGGGGGAGGACATGTCATTTATAACTCGGGAACAAAAATCGTGTTACATGGTGTAATTGGACCTCCAATCCATTGCTTTTGTCCTCTCCTTCCTTTCAGGGCCACAGATAGTTATAAGTGTATACGGCCCCGATATTTTTGGGAACGATGTGGTTCGGGGATATGGAGCTGTCCACATTCCTTTTACTCCAGGAAAGTAAGTGGATCCTCGTGTTCTGTACTTCTCTCAGAACTGTTTGTGTAATTCCTTCCCAACAGCTTAATCTGCCCAGACTTAATTCCATTTCAGGCACAAGAGAACTATCCCGATGTTCGTTCCGGAATCAACGTCCAAGCTACAGAAGTTCACAAGGTGCAGAAGGAGCAAGGAATACCAACAAATCTTTAACTAAAGCCAAGTAAAAAATAAATCTCCAGGATCCATTTGGATTCGATTGCAGTGTCCAGTGTCTCCAGTCCAACAATCTTTGTTCAAAGTGTAGCACCACCCCTCCATCCCATGTAGGCTTGCATTTCTCCCATTTTGGCTCTGTGGTTCTTTGGAATAGCAAAAGTTTCAGCCAACCGAGCCAATGGCTAGGGAGTCTTGGGAGCTTTTTTTCATGCCAGGTGCTACTTGAGAAACTGCAGGTTGCTTCTGGTGTGAGAGAATTGGCCGTCTGCAAGAACGTTGCCCAGGGAATGCCTGGATGTTTTACTATCCTTTGGAAGGCTTCTTTCATGTCCTTGCATAAGGAGCTGGGGCTGTCAGAACGGAGCTCACCCTGCTCCCCAGATTCGAACCACTGACTTTCAGTAAAGCAGTTCAGCCAGCACTCGGGTTTAACCCATTGTGCCACCAGAGGCTCCATCTTGAGAGCTGAAGAACCCCAAACCGTGGAAGACCCCAGTTTGTGACCCATGAGATCTCCATAAATTGGAAGCTCCATGGAACTTAACTCCTTGGCTATAGCTTTTCCCCCTCCTCACCATCTTCTTTTTGTCTCAGGACATTTGTAACTCTTGTAACTTAGTTATTTGACTAGAATACCCATCACACACAAAATGGAGGAGATCCCAGCATAGTGTATACCAATGCCAATGGGATGATTTATTGATTGATTTGCTTACATATTGCCTTTCTGCTCTATATCTGAAAAATAAAACCAACTGAACACAACTTAAACCAATAACAATGCAGTGAAGACTATAACTTCTGTCATCCTTCCTTCCTTCCAGCTGGTTGACAGGAAGGCGTCCGGAGTTCACCGATCCCAAGGTGGTTGCGCAAGGAGAGGGCCGTGAAGGTAAAGGCTCAAGGAGGAAGGGTCTTTTGGGCTCAAGGTGGGGAGGGAGACGCATGTTCCTCATCTGAATTGAGTCCAGAGTGTCCCCTCACTCAGAAGTGATGCTTCTGGACACCATTTATTTTCAATTTTGATGAGTTTTCCCTGCTGCTGCTGCCCCTAATATTGAACACATTTTTTGTGTGTTAGGAGCTTCCTCTGGGGCTTTTTTTCGTGTCAGGAGTGACTTGAGAAACTGCAAGTTGCTTCTGGTGTGAGAGAATTGGCCGTCTGCAAAGACGTTGCCCAGAAGACGCTTGGATGTTTTACCACCCTTCAGGAGGCTTCTCTCATGTCCCTGCATAAGAAGCTGGTGCTGACAGATGGGAGCTCACCCCGCTCCCCGGATTCGAAACACTGACCTTTTGGTTAGCAATCTTGCCGGCACAAGGGTTTAACCCATTGCACCACCAAGGGCTCCTATCTCAAACATAAGGATGAGTAAATGAAACCACTGCAAAAAAAGGGGAGGGCTTCCTTGTGTCCAACATTTTCTGCTTAGTAATTTAATAATAATAATAATAAAAACTTTATTTATATACCACTCTATCTCCCCGAGGGGACTCAGAGCGGTTCCCAGGTAATATCACAAAACATACAAAGTAAAAACAACATAACCATAAGATTAACAAAACAATATAAGCATAAAAATTGTCGCCATAACACACATATATTAAAGTAATCCTGCCTGTTCAAGGCAATTAAAAAATTTAAAAGGCCGGGCCAAGATTCGTGCATGCCCAAAAATTCTAGGAGGCCTGGGAATTAAGTGCAATGCTATGCCAGGCAACAATAATATTAGGTGCAGGTCTGTGGCTGTTCATTCTGGGGCCGATTAGAGGAAGTGATCTGGGTAATTGGTAGGAAGAATAAGGCCGTATTAGACAATGTGTGGGGCTGAGTTAGAACTGGTCATTTTCAAAGGCTTGTTGAAACCACCAGGTCTTCAAGCTCTTACGAAAGGAGGGGAGGGATAGGGCCTGTCTTATTTCTCTTGGAAGGGCGTTCCAGAGGCAGGGGGCCACCACCGAGAATTTTGCTTCTGATTCACTGGAATCAAGGCAACAGGAATAATTGGAGAGGGCTGGTCTGACATGTAAATGGACATCCAGATATGCCAGATCTTTGCAGTCCGCCAAAGATCTGGTATATCTGGGTTTTTGGACTTCTCTCCCAGAGCTGAAGCCCAAACCACCTGGTTGGGATCCATGGGGCCATCCTGTCCAACCCTCTTCTGTCAGGCAGAAAAAGCCCAAAGCACCCCAACAAGTGACCATCCAGCCTCTGCTTCAAAACCTACAAAGAAAAAGCCTTCATGGGACTATAAGGCAGAGGGTTCCACTGTTGAATAGCTCTTACTATCAGGAAGTTCTTCCTAATGTTGAGGTGGAATCACCTTTCCTGAAATTAGCCATTGCTCTGCATCTTAGTCTCAAGAGCAGCAGTAAACAAGCTTCCTTTCCTTTCCATTAGGACCTCCTTTCAACCCATCTCTTCTGCAAGCTAAACATGTCTTTAAGACATTCCTCATTTTGAGAATATACAGAGTTTGGGAATCACTGGAATATATGTGTTTTTATACTGTTCATATGGTTTTATACTGTTTATACTGCTTATATTGCCGTTTTATTATATTGTTGTTAAATTGTATATTCATGTTGTGATGTGGGTGCCATGGGTGCTGATTTGTTAGCCGTCCTGAGTCCCTCTGCGGAGGTTGAGATAGGATGGGATATAAAATCCCTAAATACATAAATAATAAATAAATAATCCTACACTGAATTACCCTTTATAATAAACATATAATAAAATAATATAACTTTTATTTATACCCTGCCACCATCTCCCAGGGAACTTGGGGTGGCTCACAAAGCACTCAAAGGTACAAATGCACTAAAAACAAGTGCATAAACAATAACACAAAAGCAGTAAGAACATATCCTAAAACCCCACTGGTTAAAATAATGCAACAGTTAAGGTAAAGGTTGTCCCCTGACATTAAGTCCAGTCATTTCTGACTCTGGGGTGTCGTGCTCATCTCCATTTCTATGCCGAAGAGCCGACGTTGTCCATAGACACCTCCAAGGTCATGTGGCCAGCATGACTGCATGGAGCGCCGTTACAACAGTAACACTAACAGTAACAGTAGCTGCTAATATAACAGTAACAGTAGCTGCAAATATAAAACAACTCCAATCAATACTCAAGTAGCGCCTTCCCATTTGATTCTGGGCTGTCATTCTTTCTCCAGTGACCCGGGTTCGTTCGCAAGGCTTCGTCACCCTCTCCTTCAACGTAGTGACCAAGGACATGAAGAAGCTGGGCTACGACGTGAGTCCTGGCATTACACCCAACCCGTCTCTGACGTCGGTCACCGAAGGGGTCCATAAATATTAAGCCAAGGGCGGCTCCATCCGCAAACCCAGGGACTGCTCCAGATGCAAACTCAAGGTGGTTATTTTGGTAATGGAACCAATACAAAGGTAGGGTTAGGATGGATCCAAATGTTCTATTCTAGAGCAGCTACATCCCAGCAGAGACTACATACAGGTATAATGGTGAGAAGTAATCTTTCCTCATGCCACCTTTGCAACTTGAATCCAACAAAATGGAAAATGCCAACTGCAAGAGTGGAAATCAGCTGGTCCTCCAAATATTGATGGGCTACCACTCCCAGCAGCCCCGGAGAGTGCCAGTCCATCAATCTCTGTTTGGGAGCATGATGTCAATACAGGCCCTACAGTCAGAAGGGAGCCCCTTTTATTCCCTTTTTAACAGTAGACCTCACAGAATGCCATGTGACGTGAAGAAAAGTCTCCTTTGGCTTTTTGAATTGCTCTGAAAAGTATTTTCACTTTAAAAACTGGTGCTTTCCAGGCCTCTGCTGAATTATCCATTCTCCTTTGAGGTTTGGTCACTTTTTAAAATCTTTGCTTTTTGTACCAATTTCTGCAATAAAGAAGACTTGAGAGAAAATACTTCCTGATATTATACTGGTGCATGAGTTTCTTTTTAAACTTGCAATGTGCAGAGGAAGTAGGGCACTGACCAGTTTCATGGCCAATACATACAATTAATGCCTTTCCAATGAGAAAGGAGGTGTCTGGAAAACAAAATGCAGTTCAGATGAAAAGTAGTGAGAGATCCACATAGATGCTAAATCCAAACAAAAAAGAATGTGTTGTCGAAGACTGTCATGGCCAAAGTCACTGGGTTGCTGTGAGTTTTCTATGCTGTCTGGCCATGTTCCAGAAGCATTCTCTCCTGACCTTTCATCTACATCTATGATTGCCTGCCTTAGATGTGGGTGAAACATCAGGAGAGAATGTTTCTGGGACATGGCCAGACATCTCAGAAAACTCACAGCAACCCAAAGAAGAGAATGTTTCTGTAGCCATAGTACTCTTGTTTTGGAGTGAAAAAAATTCCACTCTGGATTTATCACATTTTTTTAAAAAATATGATAAATTAAATCATAATTTATGATAAACTGATTTGTGTAGCTCCATTTATCACAAAGCTTCCATAATATTACACCATTTTCCCCCCATATGCACAATGCAATGCCAGTAGGGGGAACCAAATCCCTGTGAAAAACTACACTGTCTTTATGTAAAATACGCAGCAGTATATTCCTGTGTGCCTTCAAGTCCTTCGCATACTGACAATCTTAAAGCAAACTTATTATAGGATTTGTTCAGAGGGGGTCTCTTTTGCCCTACTTTGAGGCCAAGAGACTGTTAGTAGAGGGAAAGCGTAATTGGGAAACAGCTTGAAGGTAACACAACCACAGCAATATATTTAAGTGGGTAGAAAGGACAGGAGCAAATCAATCCAGTGCTAGAATCGTGTACTAAGGAAGGGGCCAGTTCACTAGGAATTAAATTGAGCAGAAAGAATAGAGGGTGAATAAGAAAAACCAGACTGCAAGAGCGGGTGCACCACAAAATGAATTAAAAACAGTTCTGTTGAAAATGAGAAGGAAATGTTCTCCATGAGAGCTGGAAATCTGCCTTGCTGGTCTGTCAGGCTTTGAGAACAGATGGCTGGATCATCCGTTTAATTGCAGGAAGGCACACAGAAACCCGATGCAAAATTAATCACGGAGGGACTGGGGCTGACATCAGCCATGTTCTCCTGGGATTGGAGAGAGCGCAATGACTGACATACACAACCCCATCGATTTCTAGAGTTGGAAGGGACCCAAAGGGCCATCCAGTCCAGCCCTTTTCTTCCATAAAGTAAGGCATAATCAGAGCCCTCCTGACAAAAAAGCCATCCAGCCACTGTTCAGATCTCAAGAAGAGATCCATAATCATCATTGTTATATATTATTATTGAATCTTCCAGTGGCTATATCCAAGCCAAGTCCCTTCTGCCAGGCAGGAAGACACCATCCAAGCCCTCCTGACAGATGGTCAGACAGCCTCCACCACACTCCTAGGCAGACGTTTACAACACTTTGATAGAGAGCCCCAAAGGTCATCCAGTCCAGCCCATTTCTGCCATACAGAAAAACACAATCAAAGCACTCCCGACAGGCAGCCATCCAGCCTCTGCTTTAGAAACCCTGGGAAAGAGATTCCACTGGACTCCAAAGTAACATATTCCACTGCTGAACAGCTCTTATTGTCGGGAAGTCCTTCTCAATACTTGCAATCTCTTTGCCAGCCATTTGAATCCATGGCTCCCTTGTGCCCTGGTTTCTGGAGCAGCAGAAAAGCAGCTTTCTCCCTCCTCAAGGGGACATCCTTTCCAATATGTAAACATGGCTATTATATTAACATTCTTAGAGGGATTGGCAGTTTCCAAACTTTTGGCCATTTTGTTGGCCTTTCTCTGGACACTTTCCAGCTTGTCCATCTTCTTGAATTACTTTGTCCAGAACTGGACAGTTATTCTTCCACGTGAGGTCTGACCAAAGCAGAACAGAATGGGACTAGGACTTCCCTCCATCTCAACACTGTCCTATCAATGCAGCTCAGAATCACATTGGCCTTTTCGGCTGCTGCATCGCACTCTTGACTCATGTTCTGCTTATAGTCTACTAAGACTCCGAAGGTGCAAAAAGGCAGGATTGTTGGCAATGAATTCTGCGAGTTCTTTAATGATGCAAACATGGAATTAATACTTTCCATTCCTAGAGATTTCGGGGCCCACAAAACCTAGACCACATTTTCTCCCCACCTTTATGCAAATGAAATAAATATCTTTCTCCCTGTACTCTGGTCCTTTTCCCATATTGAATTCTACACTACAAGTCCCTTGAAGGCATCAATACTTTGGACCTTTGTATTAATGGAGCAAGGAGTCAGTCCCCAAATAGATCCCTTCCAGCATCTGAAAAGCCACACGAGCCTGGAATATCACAAGCAACACAGGTTTTAATTCTGACAACACTCCATTCTGTCTTTTCTATGGTTTTCATGGACCACCACGACGAGGGAAGAAAAGGGCACAGGTACAAGAACCTTTTAATGACACAACAGTACAAATGATAAATTAGAGCCATACAGTAATGAAGACTTCAAGAGCATGGAGCCAGCTCTCTCCCAATCTTTCAAAGACATACGTTTGGAGAACAGGGTGTACAAGAGTGACGCATCTGCCTTACTCAAAGTCTGCCATGAAAAACTCGAAAAGCTATCCCTCCGCTTTTGATTAAATGTCAGTACAAAGGGGAAACAATTGGCTTCCAAGCGGTTTCTCTCAAGACGAGACCATCTATTATTAGGTGTTTGTTGTTGTTGATGATGGTGTTATTATTATTATTAACACCCCGCTTCCTCTCTCTACGAAAGAAACTCAAAGCCGCTTATATTCGATACTATAGAATTAATGTAGTTTGACGCCACTAGAATTTCCATGGCTCCATGCTAAGAAAACCTGGGAGTCATAGAGCAGACTAAAGCCCTTGTTAAACCACAACTCCCAGGATTCCATAGCCTTGAGCCATGACAGTTCAAGTGGAGTCGAACTGCATTAGTCACCAAAGTTCAGCCTAATAATAATTTTATTGTTTGCCTCTATTGTTCGCCTCTTTCTAGGTCGGATGAATGTCTTAACTGTGCAAGGTCTTAGGCCTTCCCTATTGATGCCCCACCAAATTACAGGTCTGATGATTCCACAGCATTGAGCCATAGCAGTTCAAGGAGTGACAAACTGCATCAACTATATAGTATAAAAATAAAAGGTAAAGGTTTCCCCTGACATTAAGTCTAGTTGTGTCTGATTCTGGTGGATGTTGCTCATCTCAATTTCTAAGCCGACGAGCCGGCGTTGTCTGTAGACACCTCCACGGTCATGTGGCTGGCATGACTGCACGGAGCACTGTTTTCCTACCAAAGCGGTACCTATTGATCTACTCATATTTGCATGTTTTCGAACTGCTAGGTTGGAAGAAGTTGGGGCTAACAATGGGAGCTCACCCCGCTCCCTGAATTCACACCACATACCTTTCGGTCAGCAAGTTCCGCAGCTCAGTGGTTTAATCCACTGCACCACCAAGGGGCTCACTCTATAGTATAGATGCACCTAAATAAAGCAATTGCTGTGCCTGACACACTGCATTTAATGCAAGCCTGTACTGCAGCGTACAAAAGTTGTACAGACAGAACAAGGCTGTGACTCTCTTAACATCTCTCCATCTGTCTTCTCTTCACCATCACATCTACTCATGTCAGTCTCCTTCAAAGGACATTCAATGGAAGAGAACTGGAGAAACATTTCAATAGAATCCCCATAACTAGACGCAAACCTGAAGCAACACCCACCGGTACCTTCCAGAGCTTTTCTGTATCTGACAAGTATTTCACCAAATCTAAATCACCATCAATGCAAGGCACACCCCATGTTTGGAGCCCCTAAAACGGGGGAAACGTGAGCCTTAGAATTGATGAAAAATTGTATTTATTTTGTGCCCTAATACAGGGCCACAGCCAGGCATTTCCTCCCATCCCACTCATTTTCAGTCACTAAATGACCACCGGTGGAGGCTATTACAGTAAAACTATGATGCTTTGGGAGTTCTGGTTGTTTCACCACCACAATAAACATATAAATGCATATGCAAATGTACCCTGGACTTATATACTTACACAAGTTGACCGAGCCACATTTTCCATCTGACTGATAAAAGGAGACAAAGTGGCTGAACATTGCTAAACATGAGAGATAAAAATATTAAAAATAACAATGGAAACATTGTGCCACTCGACTATTGTTAGGTTCTTTTGATATGATGGAAACAACAATTGAACCATCATACTGTATTATCTTTGATAGAATCACAATGATTTGAGTAGTTTAACACAATGTCTTACATCCAAAATGCCACTCAACACAACTCCCAAAATGATGTTAAATAAGAAGAGACGACCAGTAACAACACAAAAAAATAATGGTTATCCGACTCAGATGTTTTGCACATTTCAGAAGCCAAGTTCATTTTATAATTGCCAGCCCACCTCCCATCCCTGAAAGCAAGCTTTTCAAGACTTACACCTGAGTATATGGCTTAAATGAGAACAACAAGGCCAACAAACCAACAACGTTCACGTTTTGCAATGAAGACTGTAAACAGAGTCATCTTTAGTTAGAGGAGTTTAGTTGATTAAAATTAAACATTCATACAACCGTGGTTGGTTTTTGTTTTGTTTTTCCTTTTAAAAGTTTCTCAAAAGTATTACAAGAGAGAGAAGTCAAGTGTCTTCTTCCATGATCTCTGTCTTTTATAAAAGGTTTTGTTTTGTTTTTCCCGGACATGTCGTCATAAAACAGGGAAGGAGGAAAGGCAACTGTAGTGTTATTTTTCCTTTGAAATGTCCTCTTAAGCATCGCATTCCACCGTCTCCATTTTGCACCAAAAACTCTTCCGTTTCCAAAGCAAGCGGTGTGTCTCAATATTCCCTTTTAAAACTCTCTTTGTGGAACCCAAGAGCTAAAATATTCATATATATATAGATAGATATAGATATAAATAAGAGGGCACTGAATCATTAAAAAAAAGACGGTATCTTACTTTTCGGCCTACGCTACAGACTGTTAAATAAGAAGGGCGTTATAAAACAAGATGCAAGAAGTGAAACTGAGCCTTGCAAGCTCAAATCCCAAAAATGGTACTGTTTTAAAAGTGCAAAAAAGTAGACAAGGATAACTGCATAATAAATGAGGAAATCACGGCAAATGCATTCCCCGCGCGAGGGCGAGGATTCCCATTATCACTCTGTTTGCTCTCCTTTCCCCTTCCTGTTTTTTCTTTTTACGTCTGCATCCCAAGTCGAGAGAAGAAATAAAAATAAAAACACACACAATAATTTCCCAAACCAAGTCACTAATGGACAATATGGCCACCAATCTCATGGACCTTCTTGACTCTGCCACTAACGGATCAACAGGACAATAAGGCCGTCCTTTTCCAAAATTCCAATACTGTTTTAGGATCTTTTTGTTCTGTTCCCTTTCTGACCTGCATCAACTTTTGCATCAAAAAACAAACAAAAAAAAACTGGGCAGTTTCGGTTTCTGATATTTCACTCCTATGCACACCAGAGTTCTCCTACTTTTCCTCTTCTGTTCTTTTCTTTCTATAAGATCGGTAAGGACTATGGGTGAGCCAACAGTCTCTAGAAGAATACATGGTTGTTTGCATTTGCTAGCACTTGAGAGAGTCTCTGATCTATCATTTAAGAGCAAAGGGTTTTGACATCCAAGCTTCAAGGATATAAAACATTGCAAGGAGGTCTGTACTCAAAAGGGGCGGTTCTTCCTATAATATTGAAGCAAGGAACAAAAAAAAACAAGGGGAATATGGGAAGGAAAAAACTTTGGCGACAAAACAAATTCTAAAAATGTTACAGGAAATAAAAGGGAGGGGAACTAATTTTGGCGTGAAAACTCTAAAATAAAATAATGCAATGCTCCCACAAGCCCTTGGTGAAGAAAAATAATAAAAGTATGTTCTGCAGCAAATGCTAGGTGAGGAGTGACAAAATCTCTTCTGTAAACGGCAAACACACACACCTCCGAGGGTCTTTCCGCACACAGTTTGGCTCAAGCCGGCAGCAGATAAAGTCCCACAAACCAGGCTCTGCTCCACTATAAAGGGAGCCTTATAGGAGGAAAGGGTTAGTCGTGTTTTCAGGCTGTGAGATGGAAGGGACGAAGCCAGTACTGTGTAAAGGGGGCACCATTGGCCCCACAAAACCCACCACCATCCCCGGCGTGGCCATCCTGGCCAGGGAGGTAGCCATCGGTGCCACCGGCTCCGCAGCTGGGACGGCAGTGAAAGATGGGCTGCTGCTGCCCATGACAGGGCTGGACCGCATCTGGTTGAGGGTCAGGGGCTGAGGCTGGTTCACTTGGAAGGGGTTGACCAGAGCTGGTGCAGAGGATGAGGAAGGAGGAGGTGCCGCCGCCGAGGCCGCTGTCCCTAGAGAGAGACAGAAAAGTTCCATCTGTAAATCATAGACTCATAACATTGAAGGAGACTCCCAAGGACTATCAAGTCCAACCATATTCCACCAAAGAGGAAGGTACAATCCAAGCCCTCCTGACAAAACAGCCGTCCAGACATCCAAACTTCCAAAGAAGGAGGCTCTGCCTGACTTCCAGGTAACATTTTCCACCACCAAACAGCTATAAACCTCATGAACTTCTTCCTAATATTTTGGTGGAGTCTCTTTCCTGCACTTTGAAGCCATTCCTCTATGTCCTGGTCCAGAGCTTTCCAAACTGTGTGTCATAACACGTTAGTGTGTCAGCTGCAATGTATAGTTGTGTTGTGTGAACTTAAGAAGAAACCTCTTGGTTATGTGCAACAGGCAATGAATAATATATTTAAAAAATATAAATGAAAGGTTTTTATATGAGATGCTGTGTGCCCATATATTTTGTTATTACAATATATGTCTGTGTCCATATCTCTTAAAAGGGATTGGTTTAACCTCTGGTTGGCAAGCAAACCTGAATTACTATGTCGCAAAAAGATGCATGTCTAAATATTTGGAAAGCTCTGTCCTAGTCTCTTTGGAAACTGAGGGTGCAGCTCAGTGTTGGAGTCCTGCAAAATCTGGCAACCGTAAAAGTTTTCTGAATGTCACTCAATGGCTGTTTTTAATTACTGTATATTTTCCAATATAAGCTGATTTTTTCAGCCCTTTTTTAAGGCTGAAAAAGCCCCCCTAAGCTTATATTAGAGTCAAGATTATTTATTATTTTTCTGTTATTATTATTATATTTATTATTGTACTCTATTATTATTATTACATTTACATTATTTTACTCCATTATTATATTTAGTATTTTTCTCTATTATTGTTATTATTACATTTATTATTTTACTCTTATTTATTATTCAACCAGTCCAACCAGAAGATCCAACCAATCATTACTTCAGGAAATAAAGCCTGACTGCTCATTGGAGGGAAAGATAGTAGAGGCCAAGATGAAGTACTTTGGCCACATCATGAAAAGAAAGGAAAGCTTAGAGAAGGCAATTATGCTGGGGAAAATGGAAGGAAAAAAGAAGAGGGGCCGACCAAGGGCAAGATGGATGGATGGTATCCTTGAAGTGACTGGCTTGACTCTGAAGGAGCTGGGGGAGGTGACGGCCGACAAAGCGCTCTGGTGTGGGATGGTCCATGAGGTCACAAACAGTCGGAAGCGACTGAACGAATGAACAACAACATTATTATTATTATTATTATTATTATTATTATTACATTTATTATTTTACTCTTATTTTATTACATTTATTATTTACTCTATTATTGTTACATTTAATATTTTACATTATTATTATTATTATTATTATTATTATTATTATTATTATTATTATTATTATTATTGGAAGGATACGTAAGCACATTTACGTTGAAGAAGGTTAAAATAATGACTTAATGAGAGTTGGACAGACTTATCTTAAATTATACTTTTAAGTAAATATTCAAACACATTTAACCTACTGATACCTCAATTAATGTAATTTTATTGGTATCTATTTTTATTTTGAAATTTACCAGTAGCTGCTGCATTTCCCACCCTCGATTTATAGTCAAGACAATACATTTTCCCAGTTTTTTGTAGTAAAATTTGGTGCCTCAACCTATATTCGGGTTAGGTTATACACGAGTATATACGATATTTGCATTGATCTGTTGTGCAATCTTTACTCGGCAGACATCTCACCACACTAAAACAGTGGATGTGGCTCTTAATGAGACATGCCGCATTATCACGGGGTGCCTGCGCCCTACACCACTGGAGAAATTACACTGCTTAGCCGTATTGCACCACCTGACATCCGCCGGGAAGTAGCAGCCAATAGTAAAAGGACCAAGGCAGAGACATCTCCAGCTCATCCCCTGTTTGGCTATCAGCCAGCACGTCAACGACTTAAATCTAGAAATAGTTTTCTAAGATCTACAGAGACACTCGCTGGAACACGCTCAGCAAGCGAGAGTCCAAAAGTGGCAGGCTCAAACCCAGAACCTCAACCAATGGCTGATACCAAATGAGAGACTCCCCCCTGGGCACACAGAGGACTGGGCGACTTGGAAGGCGCTGAACAGACTGCGCTCTGGCACCACGAGATGCAGAGCCAACCTTCAGAAATGGGGCTACAAAGTGGAATCCACGACATGCGAGTGTGGAGAGGAGCAAACCACTGACCACCTGCTGCAATGCAACCTGAGCCCTGCCACATGCACAATGGAGGACCTTCTTGCAGCAACACCAGAAGCACTTCAAGTGGCCAGATACTGGTCAAAGGACATTTAATCAACTACCAAACTCACAAATTTTGTATTTTATCTGTTTGTTTGCTTTGTTCTGTTAAAAATGTAATATAATTTGACTGGTTGTCCTGACACGACAAATAAATAAATACTCGGCAGAAAGTGCTTTAGCTGTACTTCATAAAAAGGAAACATGGCCTATTTAGCAAGGTATGCAAATACTAATTTGTTATCAGCAAATGTCTGCGTTTTTTATACCTATTTTATATATCTCGGATCGCAAACACATTTCTCAGGCCAAAAAGGAGTCACAAGTGGAAAAGGTTTAAGAAGCCCTAGGTCTAGAGCAGTAGAAATCGAAGTTGGCCCCTTCTTCTCAATGCAACGCCCTTTCAAATATTCAAACCTAGCTCTCCTGTCCTCTCCTCTCACCCTTCTCTTCTCCAAGCTAAACATCCCCAGCTCCCTCAGCCACACCCCAAAAGGATTAATGGCTTCCAGACCTTTGACCATTTGGGTGGCTACAGAAGCCTGCCCTTGTGTACTTCACTCTTTTCATCCTTATCTTCCCAATTTATGCTCTGAATTGTGACAATCTACAGTTTTGCAGTCAAACAGGCATCGCGTCAGATCTGGATGTTGAGAAGTACCTGGAGCCAAGAAAGGGTTCAGCGAAGGTGCGGCTTGTGGGGGTTTTGATACCAGCGAATCCAAGTTCACCAGGGCAGCATTGGGCCCCAGAAAGGATTCTGGCGTCTTCCGGGCCACACTCTGTTTGCCGGAGGCTGAGCTGGATGGCTGGGATTCAAAGAGGTCTGGGCTAGTTGTACCGCTGTTCTGAGCTGAGAGCGTGGAGCTGGAATCTGCCGAAAGAGAAGAGCAAGTCTTTTTTGGTAAATATTTAAAAATGGGGGGCAAACAAACAATCACTTGCTGTTCAATGCTATTACGGCACAAACCTTGCTTTTTTGCGGTCCGAAGACTGTCAAATTCAGAAAAGTCATCTTTAATCGTCCCGTTCAAGTTGCTGAAGAGGTCAAAGGACTGACTACCTGCGAGGAAGAACACCAAAGCATTAATAATATATTGTATTGGCTTTATTGTGAGCCACTTTGAGTCCCTTTTTTAGAAAGTTAAAGCAGAATATGAAGAAGTATTTTCCATTCTACAACCTAAAATCTACAAAAACACTTCGTTGTTTGTCCCTTATTGTTTAGAATCAGCAGGAATACATAGTTTATTCTGTCCAAGAGAGTGCATTAATCTCTTTCATCCAACCTGACAGCAATATATCGTTAAAAGGCTATTTGCTCTTAAGGGGCAAAATGCTGCATCCACTGGATGAGCACAGGAAGAGAGCTTCAAAACTCCAGTGACCATGTCAGCAACTGATAATAATAATAATAATAACACCCGCCCCTCTTTGCGGGGTACAACATTGTTAAAACACTATCAAAATATGGGATACAGAGTTAAAGGATTTAGACCAAACTTGGCACAAATACTCCATATGCCCAAATATGAACACAGACGGAGTTTGGGGGACAAAGACCTTGACAATTGGGAGTTGTAGTTACTGGGATTTATAGTTCACCTACAATCGAAGAGCATTCTGAACTTCACCAATGACAGAATTGGGCCAAAATTCCCACACAAAACCCCCATGACCACCAGAAAATACTGTGTTTTCTGGTGGTCTTTGGAGATCCTTCTGACACCCCCTCGCAACCCACCAGGAGTCCCGACCCACAGGTTGAGAAATGCTGCCTTAAGGCCATGCAGTCCAATTCCCTTCACCAGAACAAGAAAACATAATGAAAGTGCTCCTGACAAAGAGCCATCCAGCCATAGATATAGATAGATCTATATGATTCACACACACACACACACACACATACGTATATGACATACAGTATCATAGATTTGAAAGGGACCGCTAAAGAAGGACAATTATATGTTGCATTTTCCAGAGTAGGCAAACCAGTCAATATCTACATCAACACTGACAAAGAAACAAAAAAAAATATTGTTTACCTACAAGCATAAATAAATTACATATATTAGAAACCAACACTTTCTCATTACTTTATTTTCCAGATCACCAGACTGGGCCACAGCAATGACTGTTTATAAAGAAGGAATCCTAAGCAGGCAGCAATTGTGATGGCCAAAACGACAAAATGATAGCCAAAATGACACTTTTTGCTTCTGTGCATTACATTCAGAAGCGAATACTTTTTGGGGGGGTTTCCGGGTTTTGAAACTTGAGGTGCGCATTAGATTCGACAAAACATTAGACTCAAGTCAGTACGGTAATAATATGGTAATAATAACAAGAATTCATGTTTTTTCACTTCCAATGCCAAGCGGGTTGAATCCACAGATTGTGACCCTGCAGAGACAGCGGATGTCTGCCATCCCATTCCATTTTTCACAGGAACTTTAACACTCATGGGATGCAGACGGCCAGCCGTACTTCCCAGCTGTGATGATTCAGCCCAGCCGAGGCCTGGAGTTAGCAGGGAAAAGGCACAACATGCCAAAACGTCACTCACCAGAAGCAGAAATGGAGTTATTTGGAGGCCCCCAAGGGTCTGCTTTCGAGGCTACAGAAGATGGCTGGGAGGGAGCCCAGGGGTCTGCATTCTTTGGGGGAGGCTGTGCAGAGGAGGAGGAGGAGGAGGCAGACACAGAGGAGGCTCCCCAAGGATCAACGGAGGCTGCTGGTTTGGCCCCTGCAGGGAAAGACAATGACAATGGTTATCCAAAGAATTACATTTGCCTTCGTTTTTATTTTGTTTGTTTGTTGTTGTTTTTTATTAAAAAAAAAACATTTCAGTATGCAGCATGCTTTTCCTGAATGGCAAAAGGGGCTGGACTGGATGGCCCTAAGGGGTCTCTTCAAATTCTTCTTCTTCTTCTATTATTATTATTATTATTATTATTATTATTATTACTACTACTACTATTGTTAAGCAGAGGCTAGATAATCATCTGTCGGGAGGACCCCAAATATGCTTTTCCTACATGACAGAACAGGGTCAGACAGGATGACCTTTGGGGTTCCTTCCAACTCTAGGATTCTATGATATTATGATTCTTAATAAAGGATGCAGATCTGGCTAGAAATTCAGAAGTCCAAGAGTATTTTTCCCTTTGTGAAAATAGGAGGGAATGCTATTTTTTATAACCAGAGAGGATACTTGTCTAGAAAGTCTTCCAGTATGGTTCTATTTGGGTCAACCTTTGCTGGAAGCTGCCCACAGAGTCACATTGGAGGACCCAGAATGGGAAGCCAAGCTAGACTTTGCAGACAAGCCTCTTTCTGATTTGTTGCATTACAGATTATACCCAGAAACTTTGTTGCTCTGTTTTTTAATTGTGTCTGTTTTTGTTTGGTATTTTCATTTCTTTTAATTAACCAAAATAAAACTGTTTGCCTTTTTCCTTTCGTTCTTTCTTTTGTTCTTTCTTTTTCCTTCCTTCCTGACATGGTTGCAGAAAGGATAAATAGCCCAAGCCTATTAATGAATGGATTGCAGCAACATTACCAAATGCAAACCATCCGAGGCAGCGACTGCAGCCTTCCGCATCCCCCAAATGGACAGGTTGAGTTGGGGGGGGGGGGGGGGGGGGGGCTAGTAGATGTGGTCTTCTAGAAAATTAAGGTTATTATACTGAAAAATTCTCATCCTTGGCTACCTAACTGGCAAATCAAAAAGCCATGGGAGTTGTAGTTGAATACACTGTAGCCTCAAATACATTTTTAATGAGTCTTTAAAGATTTTAACTCTTTACTTTTTAATGCCATAAATATTTAATTCTATTTTAAGGTTTGTATATAATTTAGATTTTAAATTGTACTTCACTCTATTTACTGTAAGCTGCTTTGAGTATTTTGTAGAAAGAAAAAGCAGGGTATACATAAATGTATAATAATAAACATCACCATCAACACCATAGGGTTGCTGTTTTCTGGGCTGTATGGCCATGTTCCAGGAGCATTATCTCCTGACGTTTCTGGAACATGGCCATATAGCCTGGAAAACTCACAGTAACCCAGTGATTCCAGCCATGTAAGCCTTTGACAACACATCATCATCATAGTTTGATAAGGCCTTGGGCCTTCTCTGATACCGCAGCGAATACCAAAGCATTAAAGCTGCATCTCCTGAACTTTAATTCTCAAGATAAAAAATTAACATCCTGATTCCTCCAGCCTTAATTTTAATTGCATTAAAAATAAAAAATAAACCATCCACCAAATAAATTTAGATTACAGATGTGTATTTAAAACATGCATATATATATGTATGTGTGTGTTGCTTTAAAAAAACCAAGCCAGGCTTGAGAACAGCAGAGCCCTTTGCTCATCGACAGGTGTCAGTTTTTGGTTCCAACTTCTGTTGTTTTGCAAAAAGAAAAGAAAAAAAGGATGACAGGAAATGCTGAAGAGGCCTTGGAGAGAATGCAGCGAATCTCATCCTATTTCCTCCTCTCTATGAATGATCCCATGCAAGAAATGCAAATCGCCCGGCAGGGAAGCCCTACAAGGAAGTTTCCCCCGAACAGTTGTTCTTTCACAAGAGAGATAACAAAAGTCACAGGAGAAAAAAACAAGTGCCTTTGAGGAGGACACCTTCCTTCTGAGAAGTCCCTTATGAATTGGATTCAGATGCATAGATCTCCATTTCTTTGCAAGGATCGGAGCCAAGCAAAGGAGAACAAGGGGCTCTTATCACTAATGTTAATGAAACGCTGAAAGACAGGGAGGAGGGGAAAGCACAGCTGCGGCTGGACAAGTTTTGGCTTGTGGATTGTGCATCCCTGGGCTGAGAATACTCTTTTTAAAAAGACACACAACAGACCTTTCAATCCCAAGAATTATTAGTCCTCAGTGTGACTTCTCCAAAGCTCTATTTTGGCTGCAAGAAACAAAGGGCAAGCTGACCCAAGGAGCACGAAGGCAAGTGCAACAAACGCGCAGTGAACTAACTGCTCGCTTTGCATGCTAGGGGTTGGCTCTCCGTATCCACGAATTCTGCAGTCACGACTGGAAATATAGTCCCCCAAAAATCCATAAACTAAATATTGATTTTGCCATCTATAGATGCAAAAGTGAAACTATGTATGTCTGTATGTTTACTCTACAATATCCCCCTCCATGGCTTGATGGATCTGGACCACATTTGGGACACAGACCCTTCATCATCCAAATTAAAATACTATGTGGTTTCCATTAAACAAATCAGTTCAGCACTGAAAACTATTACTCGAGACTCTCTCTCCCGGAACGTATTTAGCTTTGCCAAATTTAGACTATTGCACAGATTCTTTACAGTAGATCCCAACCTCAAATGAGATTTCCTTAGGCCAGACCAGGCAAGTGGCCCTCACAAGCCACTGATGCGGCCGGCCAAATACCTCCCACCCCCATCCTGAATACCTCCATAAAGAAAGGAAGGAGGAAGAGAGAAAGGAAAAAGAGAGAGAGAGGAGAGGGGGGGAATGAGGAATGGAGGGAGGGAGAAGGAAAGAAAAGAAAAGAAAAGGAAGTGAAGTAGGAAAAGGAAAGGGTAGAAATAGGGGGGAAAGGAAGAAAGTTAGATAGGAAACAGAGAAGGAATTCAGAAACCAGAAAGCATGCCATAGTGGTTTGAGCCCACTGGGAGATTTCAGACAGTCCCACTCTCTCAGCCTCAAAGGAAGACAAATGCAAGTCTCCTTGGAATCAACCTTGACAAGAAAACTCAGTGAGAGGCTTGCCCTCAGTCTGAAATGACTTGAAAGCTCACAACAACAAAAACAACAACCTGAATTAATTATTAAATATAACATAATTCGAAAGTGGGGTGCTACAAAACCTATTTGGGGTCCCAAGAGGTTTAGCCTATCTAATGTTGGCCCCTTATGACTCATAAGTTAGGTCAATGCTAAGGTTGCACAAAGTTTGGCCAACAGTAAAGGGTTTCTGAAAGCCACTGAAGACATTTACACAAATCTGTTAGCAAGAATATGCAGAGTTTACAGTGGGCTCTGCAAAAAAATGTCTAATTTCTATACTTATTTTATCTACCTATATATCATCGAGAATAATTTTTAAAAATTGCTTTGGCAGAAAAGGGGTCTCAAGTGCAAAAAGTTTTAGGCCTATGGCATTTAAATGTTTCAAAAAGAAAATTAACAAACCTAAAAGGCATATGTGATGAACAAGGTAAGTGCTTCTTATTGTGTACCTTCAATCTATTGTAACTTATGACAACCCTATTGCAGGTTTTCCCCTACAATAATAATAATCACCAAGGAAATCTGGATACTCCACAACTATTCAATAAAAGCCATAACTTCAATAGTCATTATCAAACTTTCAAAGAGTGAAAAACCAACACCATTTCAAATACCATATATTCAAAACCCACAACAGTTCGATATAGGCCATGAATGTAACAAGAGGCTAACAAAACAGTCTCAAAGTATGTCTGAATCCCCAAACCACACTCTCAAAAGGTTAGAAACTGAAGCCCGATTTCAAATGCCATCCAAATACATATACACAGTCCTCATGTACATTACTAGCGTATCTCCCTTTTCTAGAGAGGGGCCGCATTAAAAGAAAACTAATTCGTGGCCGCAACACTGCTAATTATAGCGGCATGACATAGGCGCTTGTCACGTCGGCATTCGCTAACAGGCAGCTTATGGCAAGCAGGTTGGAAGCCCTCCTCCAAAGGAGATCAGCCATATCAATTGCATGGAAAGAGGGAGATATCATTCTAAATACGATAAAGTGGCATACAAATTGACAACATACACAGAATGATCCCACTAAACACAACTTTCAGAAGCATGCTGCCTCTGACCCAAAAACCTATATAGTCATATTGACTCAAGTCTCATGTGCCATCAAATCTAATGCGCACATCCATTTTCAAAACCCTGAGACAAAAAAAAAAAGAAAAGGATTTGCTGCTGAATATCATGTGCAGTGGCAAAAAGTTAACTTTTTGTCATTTGGCCAAAAATGAGCATTAGATTTGAGTAAATATGGTACAGTCACAAATCTTCCAAAAGTCCTTTTTATACATCCCTTATCTGTAAAGACAAAATCCACTGTTTCACTACTTATTTTTCCTTTTATGGATCCCCAATTTTTATCAACCATCTAACGTTAAAAGAAAATATCCACCAATTCGCTTTCTCCGTCTCTTCTGCTATAACAAGTTCCACATTTGCAGGTTTTATTTTTGCAGATTTGATTTAAAAGGTTCTTTTGAGGAATCTGCAGGCCTCCAGTGCAGCTCTAGTCCTCCAGTTTCTTCTGCTGGAAACTAATCAGAGCCATGCTGGAGGATCCTGATATTCCTAGAGAGCTGCTCTCTCATGGTTTTTCACTCATGATCCTGTACTCCTAACCCAAATGAATATAGAGGGCTATTTGAGTTTTAATTTATGGAAACCCTAATGAATGAGAAACCTCAAAGAACCAGGATTAACAACTGCCCTTCTTGGGTCTTTCAAATCCAAGACAGTCTTAGCTTCCTAGTAGCAATCAATCCAATTAACCATATTTCTTCAATTCTGAGACACCGTTGATTGCTAGATGCAAAATAATTTCAGTACTGCCGACAGAAAGAAGCTTTATTTATATACTAGCCGTCCCCTGCCACGCATTGCTGTGGCCCACATGGGGGTTCTGTGTGGGAGGTTTGGCCCAATTCTATCGTCGGTGGGGTTCAGAATGCTTTGTGATTGTAGGTGAACTATAAATCTCAGCATACAACTCCCAAATGACAAAATCAATTTTTTGAGTGAGGGACATACATTGGGTTGTTAGGTGTCTTGTGTCCAAATTTGGTGTCAATTTGTCCAGTAGTTTTTGAGTTCTGTTAATCCCACAAACGAACATTACATTTTTATTTATATAGATTTAGATATCTAATAAAGCAATCTGAAGATTCAATCCATTTTTAGAGGTGCTTATATGTCAAACAAAGCACACCTCAGAGTCAACTAAATAGGATATAATCTGCCTGGGGAGTTCATGGAGCTTCAGTCCAAAACAGAGGGACTCTCCCACGCTCCAAGACAGCCTTCACAAAGAAAATTTGCAACAAGGGACAAAATGGATAAATCACAATGGTAGGTCTGAGTCCCTTCAGGGAGAGAGGCATGGGTTAGAAATATATTATTATTATTATTATTATTATTATTATTATTATTATTATTATTATTCTCCTCACCAAACGACTGCCAAGGGTCCGAGACAGTGCTGGCGGTTGCAGGGCCCCCCCAAGGGTCCGTAGGGTTTGCTGCAGCCGGGTGGGGGCCCCATGGTTCTGCTTTCTGGGTGGTTGGTGCCGAAGAAGGAAAGGTGTCCATGAGATCCAACAGAGTGGTGCGCTGTTGGGGGAAAGAGGATTGATGTTTTGCTCTGGGTAAACCACAATCAATAAGATAGAGAAAGGCAAATGTCTAAGGAGACAATGCATCACTGTATTTTTCATATTCTTTCTCAGTAAGGCTTTATTAAAGGGGTAGACAGTGTGGGACCTGCAGATAACCCTTTAGACCAACTTCTGTGGTCCTCAGAGGTCACACAATGCTCATTAACATCATCATGTATGATCATCACAAATATTATCATTATTAACATCCTTCTTTGATCTTTTGATGGAGACACAACTAAGCTTTAAGGAGTACAGGGAGCATTTCTGGCATGTTTTTTAGGGTCTGACTTGTCCTTATCAGGCCCAGAAGAGGCCTTTTTTAGAACAGAAAGTGATGCAACACTCTGTTATGACAGTTGCCCACCCATTTTGTTCCCCAGAGGTCAGAAAATGACAACAACGACAATGACAACAACAGGTTGTGATTATATTTATTTATATCCCACTTTAATGGTAAGAGGAGATATTTCTACCATGCTCTTCAGACCCTAACCCTTACCCATAATAAGTGCAGAAGAGGTCTTTTTTAAGGATAGAAAGTAATGCAACACACTGTTGTGACAGTTGCCACCCATTTTGTCCACAAGAGATGTGGACAAAATGGGTGGCACATCTTGGGGTAAAGGAGTCATTTCAGCCATGTTTCTTAGGCCTTCATGGCCCATATTAGGCTCAGGCGTGGCCTTTTTTTCAGAACAGGAAGTTGTGCTCTCTTTGTCTTATCCTAATATAGAATTCCTTTTTTTATCAAAACAATGTGGGGAAAGTGACACTTAGAAAAAGGCTGGGCATCACAGATATAAAATGGGCAGTGCGCTACAGATCTAACAACTTCACTTTGTTTCTCCAGAACCATTCCCTCTAGAAAGAGAGTATCTCCCCAGGACCTACTTCTTTCCTTTTGGGAATTTTCACCGTATCTCTGCGGCTCTCTTCCAAAGCCATCTGCAACCGCAAATCGTCGCCACGGCGAAGGCGTTCCTCCTGCCAAAAGGGGAGCACAGGGTTTTTAAAGACAGATGCCCAATTGTTACTTACTGTTGGCAAAATTACAGCTCTTTTACTGAACCCTCTATTGACAGCATTCAGAATGGGCACGTGTTTGAAAAGGGCAGCACAATCTCATGTAACAAGCCTCACATTGGAAGGGAAAAAAACTTATATAGGATTACATTTTTTTAAAAACCACATGCTATCCAAACCTACAATGCTTTAAGTGTCTAAACCACTTTGCCAGCAAAGAATGGAAAAGCCATGGCTGGGTCAGAAATACACACACACAATCAAAATCTGAAATAACTTCATGCTATCTTTTACTTGGCGACATGACCCCAAAAAGAACCTTTTGGGGAGATACTATGGCAGAGCTTTCCAAAATGTCCATGTCAGGGACACACTTTATAGACAGGCCTCCTTTCGTAACATAGCCATTCCGTTTTACTAGCAAGCCAGAGATTAAGCCAACCCCTTAAAAGAGTTTCATACAATATATATAACATATATATGTGTGTGTCATATAACCTATACTATATAAACAAAGTTTGGAATTTTTCCCTTTACACTTCGATGTACTAGACTTGATTCATGCATACTTCCTTCTATAGCCACTCCATAGGGTGCATCCCAAGCATTCTTGTCAATAGATTTCAATTAGAAACTTATCAATTTTAGTGGTAATTACTGTAACTCAATAACGAATTGTGCAGATTATAAAAGTAATAGCAGTATCTACACTTGAACAACACCAGAATTCTTCTGTAGAGATTAAACCTCCCTGGAGGTTTTTAAACGGAGGTTGGATGGCCATCTGCCAGCAGTGCTTTGACTGTGCATTCCTGCCCAGCTGAAGGGAGTTGGACTAGATGCCCTTTGAAGGTCTCTTTGAGGGGAAACATGTTTCATGCAACACACCTGTAGACTTAAAGGCAGCACACTAGTGCGTCCCGACACAGTTTGGAAAGCTCTGTACTATGGCAGTTGGATATCACATTTGAGAAAGGTATGCAAGGCCTTCATCATATGGCAAACTCGGACTCTACAATTTCAGCACTGAAGGCTCTGTAATTTATGTTAGAAAGCTAGAAGACAAACCCCAAAATGTATCGTCTGGGGAGGCCCTGCTCTCGATCCCGCCTGCGTCACAGGTGCGCTTGGCGGGGACGAGAGACAGGGCCTTCTCAGCGGTGGCCCCTCGGCTATGGAATGCCCTGCCAGTAGACATCAGACAGGCACCTTCATTGCTGGCATTTCGGAGAATGGTCAAGACCTGGCTCTTTGAGCAAGCGTTTGGCTAAGTAATTGCAACTAACTAAGGAAGATGGTAACTGAATATAGGAATGGCATAATGACTATGAGAATGGATCTGACTTTAACGGAGGCGTTATATATGTTGTTTGTGGGTTGTCTGTCTGATGTTAATTGTTGTGGAGCGACTTGTCGTTCCGGCTTTTGTATTATTGTGTTTTAATTGCACTGTGAACCGCATTGAGTCGCCTGTCAAAGGCTGAAATATGCGGTATAAAAGTGAAGCAAATAAATAAATAATAAATAAATATGTGATTCTCGTCCAAAAGTCCTCTTTTTTTGTTTTTCCATTCTGCAGACACCAGGTTTGCCAGCTGCACAGCACTGACATTTAATGCCCAGAATGGAAGAATCGGCAATTGTACAGCCCCTTTCGAACTAGATGGATGGCACACCTTCACTGAAGTGTGGAGGCCCCAGCTGTCACTTCAACACTTCTCTTCACTTTGAGAAGTGTGGCCAAGCATTATCACAGAGAGTTGCCTCTTATCAGGTGAGGCAAGCGTTCAGTCACAGGACCTGAGGCCGCGTTTCCCGCCTTGCTTTTCTTTCACCTCAACTTCACTTGCTTAATAAGGAAAAGGACCATTGACTTCAACACTTTGCCTTAATTAGAATTAAGTTTCACCTTTTTTTCCCCAAAAGAGCCCAACAGTGGCCAAAAGAAGGGCTGAACACAATGGTCTTTGACTAGTGGCCCAAGAGACTCCCAAAAGGACTTAGAATCGTACAATCATAGTGTTAGAAGGGACTTCCAAAGGTCACCCAGTCCACCCCCCTTCTGCCAAACGGGGAGACACATAAGCCCTCCAAACAGATGGCCATCTAACCTCTGCTTTCAAACCTCCAGAGAAAGACTCCATCATACTCTCAGGCTAATATTCTGAACATCTCTTTCTTTCAGGAAGTTCTTCCTAATGTTTAGGTGGAATCCCTTTTACTGCAATTTGAATCTATTGCTCCATAATGTACAGATTTCCAGAGCAGTAGAAAACAAGCTTGCCTCCTCCTCAGTTGGGCCTGCTTCAAATATTTAAACAAGACTCTCATGTTCCTTTCTTTCCACTTTCTCTTCTCCAAGCTGAACATACCCAACTCCCTCAGCTGCGCCTCAGAGGAATTCATAGTTACAGACTTTGGTCATCCAGCCAGTTTGTCAATATCCCTCTTGAATTGCTTTACCCAGAACTAGACACAAGATTATTCCAGGTGAGGTCTGACCAGGGGTAAATCAAGTGAGACTACCACTTCCCTCAGTCTGAACACTAGACTCCTATGGATACAGTATAGAATGGAATTGGCTTTTTGAGCTGCAACATCACACTATTGATTCTGTTCAGCTTGTGGTCTACTAAGACTCCTAGATTCCTTTCACATTGACTTTTTTCCCCCCACACCAAATGGACTCCCTTCCACCTAAGCGCAGCCACCAAGAAGGGCCTGCAAATTAGGATGATTTATTGATGCCAAGAAAGGAGTGTGGCTTAGCAGGAGGAGGAGCTCACCTGTTCAGCCACTTCCCGGCTCATGGCCAAAGCCAGCTGCAGCTGGAGCTCTTCCTCTCCACTCGTCTGAGGCCGTGCCTGTTCCAACTCCGAAGACACTCGTGGTGATGTAGCTGTTGGGAGGAATAGGGGTGGCATTATAATGTGCAAGTTCGGTTCCATCTCAAAATATCAGGGCGGATTTGGATGTTCAGCCACATTTACCTTCGCCTCAGCTGCAATTCTATTCACAGAACTAGCTATTTCCAATTATATTAACCGAGGCAATGTTGACAGACACAGCATCAGTTGCTTAAATAAACACAAAACTTCAGTTTTCAAAACCCATCTGACTTTAAAGTCATTTGGGGTCTCACCAATTGAAACAGACGTGTGTTTCAGATGGAGACCTTACAGTCAGCCCTCCACATCTAACTGTTTTATTTGTGGATTCAATTAAAAATGTTCTCTAGGAGTCTCTAGGTCAATGGTTCTCAAACTACGGCCAGGGGGCCGGATGTGGCCCTCCAAGGTCATTTACCCAGTCCTCGCTCAGGGTCAACCTAAGTCGGTAATGACTCAAAAGCACACAACAACAATCCTATCTCATCAGCCAAAAGCAGGCCCACACTTCCCATTGAAATACTAATAAATTTATATTTGTTAAAAATTTTCTTCATTTTAATTATTGTATCGTTTTAAGTGGCTTTTGTACTACAAATATGATATGTGCAGGGTGCATAGGAATTCCTTCATATTTTTTTTCAAATTATAATCCGGCCCTCTGACAGTTTGAGGGACTGTGACCTGGCCCTCTGTTTAAAATGTTTGAGGACCCCTGCTCTAGGTTCTCTAGTGTGATTTTAGGGAAGAGCGAAATTTATGGTATTTTTCATAGGGGGTCCTGTGCCTCTAATCACAGTGTATACTGTATTAATTATACCGTTCTTATTGGAGCTGTACAGAACTGCTTCTGTGTACTAAAACGTCTTGTCGCAGTTTTCATGAGAAATTTAAAATAATCAGGAAAGAGACAATATGAAGATGCTGCATTGGCATCTCATCTGGCACCAACCTCTGATCTTTTGGATTGTCGAACCTCCCTGTTTTGGCAACAAAGATATTCAGGAACTCTCTTGCTGTCAAGAGGGTTTTGCCTTAGTAAGGCCACCACACAAAGAGATTCTTATGCTGTTGCACACAGCACATGACAGTTAACTCAGATGTTTATGCAAGATGGCTCTGAATAGATCCAATTTGGATGTCCTAAGCCCTGCTAGTCGAAAATGTTGAGATTAAGGCTTTTCGGGATGTTCGCTGTTACGTAAAAACGTGATTGGCTGGCCTCTAGAAATAAGCTTTCAGCTACTGTGAGGCAAATAAACATTCCCGAGACTTGATGGCCATTAAAGCTAGATTTGACCCCTTTGTTTTTTTCTATGACTAGTAATGACTTTCCATATGCTTTTTTGTAACTGGACTAGAAAGTCTTTGTGGTTTCTTCCAATTCTATGATTGATAGCTCTCTGACCACATTTTACAAACACACATATACATTAACAGGTAAAACATTAAAGTATTAAACTGTGATCAGAACGAGTTAACACAGGATTCTGATCTACTTTGAGGGGGGACTACACTAAAAAGGATTAATGGGGGACACAAAGAAGAGACAGGAAGAACATTGGGATCTCTTAGCAGATCATCAGGTGATTTGCAGCAGATTGGAAAGCATTTCCAGATCCCAATTGCTTAAACAAAAATACTCTTCCCTTCCTGAAGCAATTGCTGAAAAGGAGTGTTGAAGGGAAAACCATGAGCAGTTTGTGAGGGAATGCTTTATTAGCTTGGTTCAGGCTGCTGTTGTGAGGCTCTATTTCCAATTAACATGATTTTTGGGGACTGTTAAATATGTAATTTGTTTGAACACCAAACACAAATTCCTAAACTGAGTACAAACTCCTAAATTACTACTCTCTGGTGGCAGACCCCAAGAACACAGGGGAAAATAAGTGTATCTTACAAGCCCCTTTTGTTTTAGGCAATGTTGACCAAAAACTGTTATCCTTCCAACTTAAAGAAAGAGACAGTAAACACTTTATGGATTTGATTAATGTCTAGGAATCTCTAGGATCTCTAGAGCAGGGCTTCTTAAAAAGTGAGTCCCAACTGAAAATGGGGTTCCCTTAACTCAATGTTAGTGTCACAAAAATTGTCAACAGGAAAAGGTTTCTGAATGCCATCATTTACACCAATCTGATAGCAAAAACTTGCAATGTTTACAGAGGATTCTGCAGAACACTCTTAAAACTGTCCTCCACAAAACGTAAATTTAGCCTGTTTAGCAAACCTTGAAAATGCTGATTTATTTATCAATGTTTGATTTTATACCTCTTTCAAATACCTATATATGTGGGGTCATACAAAAAATTCTCAGTCAAAAAGAGCCCTACTCCTCTACAATCAATATCCATCAACATCATTCTCTCTCATTCATCTATGAATGGTTTCTTAGATGTATTGTGACTTACTAATGTTAGTATATTACACATATGTTTATTTATTTACTTCCCGATTCCTTTGGTTTGTTTTCCTTTGACGAGTCTTGTGAATCAGGTGCAACATCCCTTTCCAGTTTCATAACCAAAACAGGCTGGGCCTGCCCTGCTGAGGACAACTCTTCCATTTTGCCACTGTTTGCTATCGTCAACACCGGCAAATAACGAAGGTTTGGCTTAAGGTTTACAGAAGAAATAGGCAATTCTGAGGAAGCACAGAGGCCTCTTGGTTTAGTGTGGACGTCTGTACTTACACCCGTGGTAGGAGGCCGGAGACCCTCCCGATTTGCCATACTCCTGCTCCGAGTAGCTGGTGGAGAGGTTGGGCTGACTGGATCCCCGGCCGAAGGTGATCTGGTTGCTCCCGACCCCCGTGGCCACCTGCGCCATGCGCTCTTTGGTCTTCAGGGCCTGGGCCCGCTCTGCCTTGAGCCGCTCGTCATCCTTGAGGAGGGAGACCAGCTGCTTGGACTTCTCCCGCACATTGATGCCCTGGTCTTTCCCGTCCCTGTCAATGTACTGGAAATCTTTCAGAGTCTGGATGGCAAATATGTTCTCTTTGCACTGCTGGGCCACCCTCTCTGACCCGGTTTTGATCAGGTAATCCAAAAGCGTCAATGCCTTGTAGACATGCCGCCAGTTCTTGCCATGGTCGTTTAAGCGTCTCCAGATCATGCTCATTATTTCAGAAAAGGCCACCACATTGTAGGTCAGGTCAGCGATTTCAGTCATCAAAGAACTTGATGGGCCCCATGGGTCATTGGACGTGGCTTCCCGGACCTTTATTTCGGCCTCCGAATAATTGTTCACAATGTTTTTCATCTGCCGCCGGATCGACGAAGTGGTCATTTTTATCAGCTCCTAAAACCAAAGCAGTCCTCTCCCCAAATAAATTCCCTCAGAGACCGGCCTTCGTTTTTCCTATTTTGTGTCTTCCTGTGCTCAGAAAATGCCGTATGTGCATCCAACTTGGAGCAAGTTCCGGTAAAGTCATTTCATACGTCCCAAAAAAGGTCAAAGGAACCGGAAAGCTGGACTGAAAGGGGGGAGATAAAACACAATTCCATTAGCTTCCATCTTGGTTACCTGCAATTTGCAAGATGACCAAACAAAACATCCATACATTCCTTGCTCCATCACTTAAGAAGCTTTTCTTTTAGAACCATGGAAAGAAAATGTAAACCACAGAAAGACATACCAAACATAGATTATTTGCCCCTTTATTTGTTTTTCTGTACATTATATTTAGAACCAAGACCCAAATTCTTGGGATCTAGTCTAAATTCCAATAATGTGTCACGACAATATTTTCTATCTCTTCCATGATATTGCCTTCTATATTTTATGTGTTATATTGTATTTTAATATTATTACATTTTAACAGACAAGATCTGTATTCTATGGTCACTGACAGTAATGAAAATTGAGGGTAAATCTGCAGATATTGCAATTGATTGCTATGGGGATGATCTTAGCTGCCTGAATTTTGTCTAAATTTTAACGTTAATATTGCCTTCTATATTTTATGTGTTATATTGTATTTTAATATTATTACATTTTAACAGACAAGATCTGTATTCCAATTACTTCATACAGTGTTTTTATATCGTTTCATATTGTATTTATTTGTTTATATGCAAATGGCCAATGGTGTATTGTTCATTAATATATGAATCATATATTAATAAACAATATATGAACATATATATGAATCAATGGAATCTGAACACAACTAAAGCTTTTTTGAACAGGTCTGGTTCCTGAATTAAATATCAGACAAGAAACTCGGATTGTTTTGCTTGGTCCCCTCGGAGAGATAAGGCAGAATATAAATGAAATTTTTATTATTATTGTTATTATTATTATTATGGTGTAAATTCTACTGAAAATATCTTCCCCAAGATCCAACCATTATAGTTTGAAAACTTTCCTACATAAATCATGTACAACAATCCATCTACACAACAGATACAACCCTCTACTATGGAGGATTGAGGCATCAGCAAGAAGGATGGGTTCATAGTACCACTATATTCTCATCTAACCCTCCTTCCTGGCTACATCAATCCTAAAGCTTTTGCCAAGATGTCACTTGACAGAAAATATCTGGAGGAGAAAGAGAGATCACATTATGAATTAAGAACACAATGCATGGCACATTACTTTCATGAAAAGTGTGCCATTATAGGACGAGGAAATTAACCACTTTAACCAGACCATGGCAGATTATCCCTTCGCCAACAAAAAGCTAAGTGAACTTGTGAGCTCAGCATTAGCAGCGTTCCAGCCGAGCAAATGAAGCTGCAATGGTAGCAGGAATTGAATTTGAAAATACCAGCACAGGAAAGCCCACAGGATTTTTTTAGCTGCCCAACAGCCGCAATATCTACATGGTGCTACTATTGGGGGGAAAGCAATGATTAACTTTGAAACAATGCACATTCCAAATCCAGTTTTAAAGTCCTGAGTGAGCTTGGCAGGAGGAGGAACTGGGCTGAATCTAAAATGAGAAGTGTGGGGGGACACAGTCAGTCCCCAAGTTATGAACAAGATAGGTTCAGGAGGTTCGTTCTGAAGCTGAATTTGTATCTAAGTTGGAACAGCGACATTTTTAAAGTGTAACTAGCCAAAAATATATCTTTTTTAGCTTTGGATAACATTTTTTTGCTTTTTGTGCCCCTGTTCAGAAGATTTCCCCTCACTTTCTAACCTTTTGAATATTTTGGCTTGCTGTGGAATCAAGGATTGGCAAGGAAACTTCACTGGAGACACCTTTTCCCCATGATAACTCTTTCAGGAGTGGATTTCCTTTCCAAGCAGATTTCTCTCAAGACGTCTCATCCCCATTCTTAACTATGAGTTGTATGTAAGTGGGATGTTTGTAACTTGGAGACTGCCCGTATTATGATACTTTTACAAATATTTCCAACATTCAAGAAGCTGCTGTGGATTTTTTTCCAGCCTGAAGCTCTTGACATGATCTTGCCGATGATCGTACTGAGGACACTGCATGAGTCATTTAGACTTGACAGAGACTTGGATTTAATCACTACTTCTAACATTTCCTCAGGAGATAGCAGCTACTAGGCAGGTTAAACAAGATGCTCGATCCGTACCAACATACCTGCCATGTTTTTGAGTACAGCCTACAATTTGGGGGCTTGGGGTTTTAAGTGTTGCAGGTTTGCATTGATAAACCGAAACCCATGGAAATATATGGTACACAAAAAGATGGTTTTAAAGAGGCTTCTTATGCAGGTGTTAACTGTTTGAATCCTTTCAATTCAACCACAGTGCTAGAATCACAAACAAAAAAAAACCCATACAGTATCAGAGTATGTTTTACAACTGAAAATATTTCAGAACAGATGTCACCTCCATGTTCCCCAGACAGTTATTGCAAACAACATTTCGGAACAAGAAATTCACAAGAACGGGATGCATCTACTGGGAACAACAGAGGGAAACAAGCATGTACCTGGTGCATTTCACAGGATTATAAAAGCCCTTTCTACCCTGTTTCTGTGTAATATTTTTATGTCCTGCCTACTCAAATCACAACACGGAAGCATAGCTGAGAGGGGAAAAGCACAAAAACTACCAAAGCTTGTCATCTTGGGTTTTCTACTGAATATGCTACCACCACTGGTTTGGAGATATGATCATTTATCCTATGAATCGCAGCAATTTGCACAACTGTCGACCTTTCGGCCTTAAAAATTTGCTGAGGGAACAGTGAGCCCCACACATGGGGATAAACAACACTAAAATAAAATAATTTCCCCTCTAATAAGAAATGATCTCTGGGCTATTGGTATTTCCATCAGCTAAAGTAATTGGAGCCCAGACAGTAATACAAGGGCCTTTTTCCAAATGCTTAAAAAGTTTTAAAGGAATTAAAACTCAACTGATTTCACTGTTACATAAATAGGGAAGAAAACCATCACAAGGGAATGGAAATGTCTGCGATTTCTGCTTACGCTCAATGAACGGAAACATTACAAACAAATTGCTGCCCATTAAGTTTGCTTTTTTAAATATCTTGGGAGCCTGCAACAGGTTTTCGAGAAGCAATAGAAACCATGAAGACAACAGAGTAATGAAGGACATATCCTAAACACACATTCCTTCCCTGTTGTCTTTCTCCAAGTAGGATTTATTTGAGAACTTGCCTAACTTAAGGCTGGAATTTAAACAGAGAGAGAACTGAATCACATTTGATCCCTTTCTGCAAACACTTCAACCCGCAGGAAAGTCTTTGAATTAATGTACAAAACAAAAGGAGAAATACACTACACAAGTACAGTTCTTTGATTTCACTACATGATCATAGGATCTGTAGTTTGAGGAGGCACCAATAAGTTGGCAGAGAATGCTAAAGACCCCCCCCCCCCAAACTTCAAGTCTCCAGACGATTGGAGCAAGGCCATAAAACGACATCAAGGCGCTATGACAGTGTTCTGCTTAAGAGCAGATATTAAAGAGAACCAGAAGCCTGTGTAATCGTCTGATCATCTCATTTCCTTGAAATGGGGAAAAGTCCAATGTGTTTTTAATTTATTTTGTCTTTTTATTATTTTATCATTAAAAAAATTAAGTGGTGGGGATAGTTTAGTTGTTAGACCTAGTTGGGGATGTGATGCAGTGTGAATTTTCATTTCTGTGTCACATCTTTTGGCTTATTTTTGCCTCTGTGTTTGTTGACTTTTAAAATTTTTGAGTGCATGTGAAACTTTTTAAAAAGTACTATATAGGCAGTTTCCAAGTTACAAACAAGATAGGTTCTGGAGGTTTGTTCTTAAGTTGAATTTGTATGTTAATCAGAACAGGGACATTTTCTAAGTGCAAATTTAGCTTATTTATATCCTATATATAGTCCTTGTTTCCACAACAAGCCAATTTTTTCAAAATCCAATTCTCACAGGGACAGAAAGTGAGGTGAAATCCCCTGTTCAGAAGATTTTGCCTCACTTTCTGTCCCTGGGAGAATTGGATTTTGAAAAAAAATGTTTCTTTTGTGGAAACAAGGACTGGTAATAAAGCTTCAGTGGAGACCCCTTTCCCTATGATAATAACCCTTTCAGGAGTCGATTTCCTTTTCCAGTGGTAGATCTATCTCACTTCCTGTTATCTCACACCTATTCTTCACTAGGAGTCATTTGCAAGTCAGATGTTTGTAACTCAAGGAATGTCTGTATTCCTTTACCTTCCACCAACACTACTCAAGGTTCCAGCCCGACAAGTGGATTATGCCATTAAGCAAATGAGTCTTATAGAGGAGTGCAAATATTCCATTCCTGTGAGCAGGCTAACGAACTTCACGGAGCAAGGACAATACAAAGGAAGCAAAACTAGATGTGCCAATCGGATACAGGAAGCTTTTGTGATTCATTCCCAGCAAAAGCAAGAGATAAACACAATGGTATCTGTATATGCCACTACTGAAACGCCCTGAAATATCCATGCCTACAAGCCAGGACTCGCAAATCCCTCTCTGCCTGGTTTGGCTGGTTTCCTCCCGTCAAGAAAATTACATGCAAGGCATCTGTTAAGATCAGAAGGAATTACGGTAATCTGAGAAGATGTCAGTAAATAACGTTGCTGAGGAATACTTTTCATTTTGATGAAGAATCCCTGCAAAACCCCATGTAACTCAGTAGAGATTACTTCGGAGTAAACACAATGTTAAGGGAAAAAAGATTACAGAATGTCTGTCTCAATTAGCTTCTAAGATCGCAATCTAGCAGACTTGTATTTCCAGAACATTGGCTGTTGTTGTTGTATGCCTTCAAGTTTTATCCACCTATCATGAATGAGGCTGACTAGAGAAGACTGATCCATAAGAGGTTTAACCTTGTAAAATGTGGGCTACATAATACTACTATTAGGTGGGTTTGTAATTGATTAAGTGATCAAACCCAAAGCATGCTCCCCAATGGTTCCTCGTCATCCTAGAAACAAGAGGTACCTTGGATGCCATAAAGAGGTTTCTATCCTGGTCCTTTCAGGGCGGTTCAGGATCTTAATGACTTGGAG